CAAAGCATTAGAACTACTCTGGGGTACCCTGAAAAATCATGATTATAAGATAACACTGTACAACAATTACTTGAGTTATCTTAGCCATAAGATGTATTAACGATGACAATGACAGACATTATAACCACTATACCATACCACTTCATTAGCATTATGAGCAAGGTAAAAATAGAGGTGATTAACATATACTATGGTTATGCAAATTAGTCACAGTGCATGAGAAAACTCAATATGTAAATCATTAGCATGCTATATGTACTGCCCTCTGCTGACAAGAATCTACAAAGAGTAGCTCAAGACTTACTTTGAAACAAACACAGGTTTCAACCGTGGCCCAGTTTCCTCCTCAGAGTCAGAATATTCTTCATATTCGGAGGATGACTCTTCTGATCCGACTTTCTCTTCTTCTTCCTCCTCCTCCACATCCATCACCTCCTCTTCAAGTAAAAGGTTTCTTGCTCGCTGTCGCATCAATTGTCGCCGTCGTTCTATTTCTTCCTCTTCAAGTTCTTCTTCCTCTTCTTCACTGCTTTCTTCGACATCCATTCCGACTCTCTGTCTGTATCGATCATCATCACTCTCACCTTGGTATTCATCTTCACTGGCTGATAGTACTTCAGGGCCTGATATGTCTCTGTGTCTTTGTATTATTTTAATACATACAATGTAACAATTAAAATACAATATGCAAATATAAAATACAGTAACCATTCCATGGTCACAATGATAAACTTTATAAACTTTTTCGCGAGTAAGTGAAAAGCAAGATATTCCTTAGGGTTCCTGTGAATGGAATGTCAGGGACTTTTGCAAAATTTGTCTTCACAAATGCAATCAAAACCATCAAAACGCAAAAAAATTCTAGCATTAAAAATTAAATTAGGCAGTTTACAGTAGTGCTCCCTTGTTGTATTTAACTGAAATGACATGTGCACACACGCATACACACACACACACACACAAAGACATAGTTTAAATAAATACAAACATTTGCTCTTCCTCATGATCTTCAGTTTCACGATGACGTTCTTTCACTCTTTGTAAGCGCTTGTCTTCCTCTTCTTCGTTAAGTTCCTGTATCTCAGGTTCTGGCACAACTCTTTTGAGACCTATGAATGGTACTTGCAGCTGTTCATCATCATCCTCATCACTTGATTCTGGTGCAAAGTCCGGTCTGAAACAAACCCAAACAAAATAGATTTAAAGATGCATAAATTTTTAAGAAAATTTAAGAGGTGAAAGTTTAACTAAACTAATGTAAGTTAGACTAAATTTGTGGGTATTATATATTTTAATTTTATCACTGTAAACTTTCATAAAATAAAAGTGAGTAAATCCAATCTTTTGATCACTCTCAGTCTCTTATTGCTCTATTCTGACTTTTACAAAAATCCTTCATTATATGATTCATTATTAAGTC